CACAAAGCTAACGGTGAGGGAGCAGATGCCTCGTTCAATTTCAAATAGAAGGAAATCTGTTGTCTCAAATAATCCCTAAATTCAGACACTTTCAGACAGCTATTATCAAGAGACCACATTCTAAGAGCAGATGTGTTATTAAGGCTGAGAAATGTTATGAGGACTTCGTGATCTGACAAATGATTTCAATCTACCCAACATTCCAACATTTCATCTTTTAATAAGTTAGAGATTTAAAATACCCATCTTAGGGATACAAGTTGTGTAAGGTGGTTGGGTACTGGATTTGTAACTGATACTTCATTTCCATGCAAAACCTGCCCTAAATTATGCCTACAGGTCCCTTTTATATACAAAATCTGTTCATTTGACTAAAGCAATTATGAAGTATTTTAATCTCTGTATTTAATCCTCTGGCTCCTTCCTACATCTACAAAACACGGCTTCTGCCTTTCAGTGAGGAACGAAAAACAAATGCATCCAGCCTTCAGTTGTCCCACCTAAATGTGCTCAATCATTTCTTTATACCATTACGTTTACCTTTATGTGATTACTCTATTTAGAGCCTTTTCAGGGAGGCAATTACTGAAGATTCTGCTGAAGGGCTAATACTCTCCCTTTCTTGTCTGCAGCTAAAACTCTCTTTTTTTTTTAAAGTGCAGTAGTGTTCTTACACTCTTTGGATAATAGACTCTTCTTTTGGGTTCAAGTGACTGTTTTCACCAGCCCTATTCAGAATCACGAAGTGTACCATCCGTAACAAAGTGTACATTCCTCAGCACTCGCAAACTGCTTATTATATAGGGGTTGTGCTTTGATCTCCTGAAAATACCTGCAGTTCCAGGAGATTTTTACATAATCCTATCATTGTCAAATATAATAAAACTTAGATCCTGGTGAACATCAATTACTGTAAATAACCGGAAGATCAACGAAGGCCTCTAGCTTCTCTTTAGCAGAGAGGTCGCCAACTGTACCTATATTTAAAATTTTCATTCCACCTGGTCTTAGGGAAGGTGGCCCGTAAAATGGCCTGGCCTGGTTTTCTTTAATCATCTGGAATGGCTCTCCTGACTCAACATTTGGAGCTGTTTCTTTGGTAGGCAATGTGGGAGGGGAAATAGATCATCTCCTACCATTCTCCTTATGACTGATGAGGCTTTTATCTCAGACCCTAAGGATCAGAATTGGACAACTTGATTTGGAAAACAGATGACAATTACACTGTAATTTTTAAAATATGGTAAATTGCCTACCAATGGAAATGTTGTATCACAGGTAGAATGGAATCCCTGGCCGGGCTGAAGGGCAGGGGGGCTGGCTGCCTTCCGGGGTGGAGCCAGCACTTGGCCTCAGTATGCGTGCGTTACAGGCAGGGGACAGAGTGACCCGCCCGTGGGGCTCCCCCACCCCCGCCCCCCACCGGCCAGAAGGCTTCTGATCTCCACTGTTAATGAACTTAACCAATCTTAGATCCTGGTGAACATCAATTACCGTAAATAACCGCAAGATCAATGAAGGCTTCTCGCTTCTATTTCTGGATATCATCAGCTAAAACCTATTCACTTATTCATCCGGTCAACATTTTTTAGCTCCTACTACGTGCAACATGAAACAAACATGTGTGGAAAGCCTTTGGAAAGTAGACATTTAAAGAAACTTGCTCCAGACCACAGAAATGAGATGAGGGGGACCTAGTTCCAGGACGTTGTTTAAGAATAGGGAACTCGCACGAGGGGTTGAAAGAACACTAACATTTGTGGCAACTTTGGTGTTTACAAGCTTTGTGATTTAGGTCATGGGGCTAAAGATTCCTAATCTCTCTAAAATGGGGGTGACTAAATAAGCACCTGTTGTACACAAGACATGTTGGACACTTTGAGGAATACAAAATGCATGAGAGAGGGATTCTGGCCTTGCTGGATTTCCAGGAGCTCTGGGAGCAGAAGAGCCAGTGATCATGACACAAGAAAGCTGGGGAGAGGGGCACAGGTGCTTTGAAATTCATGCAGGCAAGTGGCTCTTCGCATTCGCAGAGGTCGGGAAGGAAATGCATGTGGGTTTGTGTCTGAAGGAGTGGGCAGGATCTGGAGGTACAGGAACAGGTAGGATTTTACCTCAGGCAGAGGCAGCATGGGAGAAAGCCCTCGGGGGTGGGACGGAACTCAAGTGTCAGGCTTCGGGTCAAAGAAAGGGCTCTGCTTTGCTTGCTCTCTTGCTTGTTTATTTGTGGTGAGGAACACTCTTGATCTCATTCGTAGGCTCAGAGGAATTTGTCCAAGAAAAGATTTCAAAGGTGTGTTGAGGGAGTGGCAGGCAAACAATGGCAGAGCGTCCTGGATCAGGTGAGGGGCACAGGGACAGGGGGGAGGGATGGACATTGTGCAGAGAGAGAAGGAGAGGCCAAGCCAAGAATGAGTTCATGCAGAGGTTCAGGCAGAGCTCACAGGGCCTGGGGAGACCCTACCTAATGGCGTCTGTGTTTTCCATGACAGGTTGGCATCTGTTGAGTCAACGGAGCCAGGGGTTGGAGACCGAGAAGGCTGATGAAGATTTAGAAGCTCTGATGAAACGGAGAGGGAAAGGGGCCAACTGTGGTTCTGTAGAATCGCTAAGCAGTCCCGAGGGCCCGGCTGAAATGGGGAATCATGCGCTTGCAACGGAGCCAGATGGGAGAGTGATTTCCTCTAAAAATCTGAGCAGGGAAAATGCAGGAAAAGGAAGTATGATGGGGGCCAGGTGAGGTGGCAAGCAGGGGACAAGATTGGTGGCGAACCCCAGTAAGTAAAAAGATGGAGCCAGTTTTGGGTTGGAGGGGGTTCTTGGGGAAGTGGGTGGATGTTATCTTCCTTGAGGAGGAGAGAGGCAGGGTTTTCAGCAAATTTCCTGTCTCTGAAGATTAATGGATTGAGAATTTCATTGTGCCGGGTCCAATGATAAAACTGACAAATAAGTACATTTTTAAGGATATATATATATTTTAAGATTTTATTTATTTATTTGAGAGAAAGAGAGATAGCGAGAGAGCACAAGCAGGGGGGGAGAGGGAGAAGCAGGTTCCCTGATGAGCAGGGAGCCTGATGTGGGGCTCGATCCCAGGACCCCAGGATCATGACCTGAGCCGAAGGCAGACACTTAACCGGCTGAGCCACCCAGGTGCCCCTTTAAGGATATATTTTAATGAATATTTTAAAATACCGGAAAGGAAGCGCGCAAAAAAACTCTTGAGTTCCTTCATGTGACTTCGCTCCTAATGTAGACAACACTTGGAAAATAACCCACTCAAGGAAGGCAGATGGATTTAAACCGATAAACCCACTCCGCCTACCTCCTGGATGCTGCTTGGGGTGTCGTGCTGAAGGATGTGTGTGGGGACCCATGTAAGATGGTCAACCTGTGACAGCAGCGAGGTCACAGAGGAGGGGTGGGGAGTACGTGGTGCCTCCTGCCACTCGTGAAGTGTAGATAGAATATGGAAGTTGGGTATTTGCTCAGGGATGTCACCAAATCTTGTGCACATTTCTTCCTTTGTTATTATCAGTTTACCTTACCAACGAAACATAATATTTACCTATATCTTTATAGATTGCAAGCATTCTGTATTTGTAATGCCCTTTGAGCTCTTGCACAGGAGATGACACGTAGCACAAATTATAGTAATGTGAGCAATCTTATTTTGTCAATTAAGTGTTGATCTAAAGTACCAGTGGGAGAACTGTTTGCTTTAAGTGAACTATGTCCATGGAAACGTGATTCTTATATCTTTCACCTTCTGGAAGCTTTAAAAATATTTGCACTTTAGCAGGCTGAAAACGAGAAAGAGAAATGGAATGGTTATTTTATATTATCAGGGAAAAGAAGAGAATTAAATGTTTAGTGAGACCTGTTTTAGGATCTTTAGGTGTGTTCTATTTTGGGTGATCCACTAAGTTATGGAACTGAGTGAGGCTGAGGGAGGTAGGAATTTGCTCCAGGGCAAATAGCTTAAAGGTAGCAACCAGAGAGCACAAATCTAGGTCTGGCTGGCTTCAAGTCTATGTTCTTTCCATCACTAGGAAAGAAGGGGAGTGTTGCCACCTCTGCCCAGGGATAACTTGCCTAAACTAAAAGTAAATGCTGCAACGCTGTCAATTTTGCATGTAATGCAAGGTAGAAATTATGATCACTATAATGTTGGAATTGTGGCTCTCAGCAAATTGCTCTCAATTTTTATTTTTATCAGCAGGAAGAGAGGTTTTTAAAATGAATCCATCTAGTTTTGCTTTTAAAATGGATCTGTAAGGAAGGCAAAATTGTACAAGAGGATATTATCAATTGGCACTTACTGAACTTGCACGTGTGTGCTAGAGTTGAGGGACCCCTTTTGCTAACACTCCTCCGATTTTCTTTGGTTCTTTTTCTCTTGTGCTATTAGAACCTACGCTGGGTTTATGCTTTCTCTCAGCAACTTTCGGTTAAAATGTGATGCTAGTCCTGGAAAGTTAGGGTCATATTATCCAGCTGAGCATTACAGAGGTATTGATGGTTATAAACAAAACTAATGAGTGGGGTCAGTCCTCTGAAAATCCAAAGACAGGGACGCTTGTAACCCTGCAGAGGGTTTTTCTGGGTCTCCAATATAAATAGTTTTTCTAACTCAAAAACAAATCTGACATATTAAGTGTTTTATTGAAAGCCCCAATTATGTCTAGAGTTTTGTGCTGGGTTTATTTTAAAATGTATCTTGAAAAGCCGGTGGTCCAAATTCTCCAGTAGACTTACACATGATGAGAATCTGTCCCTTTATATTTAGCTGCGGGCCACCTAACAAGTTCTTAGGCGAAACACATTATTTGCTAGTACAAGAAGAATAAATACTGTATTTGGAAAGTTCCAGTGTTCTTCTTTAAAATATCGCTGTTTCCATAGCAATAACATAATGTACTAAAGAGTAGAATAGTGTTTCTTTAGAAACCACGTGTATGGGTGCACATTTCCAGGAAGGGCTTTGAAGAACTCACCTGCTTGTGGCCCCAAAATGGAACAATGGTGATGGATCATCTTATGAGATGGAACTTGACCCCATATTTCACCGCCTGGTTAGATGTCGGCTTTCTGCTTTTGGTCATGTGTGTAATACTTTCTTAGGCTCTGTGCTCTGAGAGGGTAGAGAATAGATTTATATTCATTCATTCATTCATGTAGTCAACAAATATTTATCAAACACCTATATGCCAGATGCGGTTGTAGGCACTGGGGACTCGGTGACATCATGGAGCTTATAGTTCTAATGGGAAGAGGGGGTTAGGAATAGTAGTAACTGATACTGTCATTCCTGGGTTGTTCTAGCATGAGCCTCGCATTACAGGCAGGAAAGGTTGTTTTAGGGGGTTATACAATTAAGGATTGCAGATAAACATAAAGGCTTGGGGCAGTGGTGAGTTCTGTGCGAGCGAATGCTCTTTGGGAAGATGCGGGATGTCACTTAGGATGTGCTTGTGATCTTTAAAACTGGTATTCGGTTGAAAGACTCTTTGAACACCTCCCTCTTCTTTATTTTGATTTGAGTCGGGTGCCTTTGCCTTCCTGTAATCCTCTGCATTTGTTCTGTGTGCCGATTTTGCCCTGATGAGCCCCACCTTGCTCCAATCCCCCACCCCACCCCACCCCCCCGAACTCCTAAAGCCGGGAGTGTGGATGCGTGGCAGGCGTGTCCCTGGAAGGGCCGCTCCTCTAGTTCCCTAATGGTTGTCTAGCATCTGGCAGAGGGGATGCAGGTCACGAATGTCTCCATGCTGGGTCATCACTATTCAGAGAGAGAACAGTAAAAGGAGCAGAGTGTCCCCCACCCCCTCCCGGAGGCCACACATCTTTGTTTGTTACACAAGGCTCCACTTGTGCTTTCAGGAGCGAGACCTTGAAATATTTACTGTCTTGAGAAACCCGTGTCTATCTGCCATGTGCAAGGGCCTTTTGTGCCGCCACCTTGCTGATGCCCTGGTCACGAGCAGGCAGCAACCTCTTGACTCTCTCAGGCTTTGACAGGTTTGCCTAACTGTCCACGTTGCTCCAAAGAGCTCATGGTTGCAGACACTCTTCAAGCCGCTCTGGGAGCAGAAGGAGCTCCGTGGGCCAGATGTGGGGTCACAGAGTCACAAATGCTCCCAGGGTGGCCACCCTTTGCTTCAGAATCAGACAAGTTGACCAGCTACCCCAGATGCCTTCTTAGACCCTGCTAATAAATCAGTCAGCAGCGAGGTCACAGACAGACTGCAGAAATGTAAGCCCATATTTTCAAGTAAGCATTTCAAACTTCTGCTTTTGTCCCCCCGCAGGGCCAGAAGTCCCAGACGGGAGGGAAAATTGAACTCCATCAAGGAGGTGCAACCACTGTGATTCCACCCAGATGTTCTTTCTTAAATGCAAAAGGCATCATTTTCTTGCCAAGAAATGGAATGATTGATCAAGCCTTCTTTAAATCATTCCATCTTATCCATTCCCATCTGAAGGGGTAGCTAGTGCATTAATATTAATATTCTTATTATCTCCCTGGAGAGAGGAATGCCCCAGTAACCCCCCTTCCAATGACTGCCAACACCACGGGGATATGAAGTTAGGGGAGGAAGCAACTGATGCAGGGGCTGCATTTGTTTTATTAGCAACAGCTGGTGATGGTCCCCTGCCCCCCCCCCCTTTTTTAATGCTATGCTTGTCAGATCCAGCTTCTTAAGACTGGATGGCAAAGGGTAAGACAAGAACACAGCGCATTTCAGCCTTTGCAGGCAGGAAAAGGGGATTTATGTTAAAGATGGCACAGGCAACATTCAGAAGCTAATGAAGAAACTTGGTAAAAGAGTACCTGCTCTCAATATTGTGTAGGTAACATTTGAGCAATTAGACACACATATTGAGTAACTGAAACCACCTGTAGGATTTGGGTAGGAAAACCCACTTTGTCTTTCCTTCTCATTTGTCCAGGATACTTTTATAGAAATAAAAATGTGGACTGCACATGTCTCCCATTTATCCTTAGTGTAACTTTAAGAATGTTCATGATGAAGGGCGGAGTTTGCAACACCAGGGCTCACTCTAACTGTGTTGGAAACACTTGACCATCAAAAGGAAATCTGTGCCATTTGCCCAACAAAGAAATAAATCTTCCTTTACTCACTTTTGCCCTGATTTCTATCTGAGAAGCCCAAATGGACACTGTTTCATCTTATTGCACATGTGGAATCTCAGGTAGCATTTTCAGGATATTACATTCACATATGGACTCTATATCAGACAGAAACTTACAGCTGGTTCAACATGTGTCCTTCGTAATTGTAGTTATTCTGTTTTCTTATATATTTTTTTAATCTGATCAAAATTGAATGAATTTCGTATATGCAGTAAATTACCATGCATATACCATACTGTCAGAGTTATGAAACTGTTCCAGTTTTATAAAAATACCAATTATATATCATGCAAATAAGAACACATGAATTTGCATATGAAACCACATTATAAGTATTAGTAGGAAAAGGGCATGGCAAAGTAGTGTGCTGTTTGCTCAAGTCCATAATTAGTAACTATTGGGAAAAGTGGTTAATATCATCTCCAAAACATGGATCCATGATATGCCTGCCTCTTGGGGAGAGACACTAGAACAATGCCAAATGGAAGGAACTCTTGGCTGCCCTCCCTCTTTCTCTCATATGTGACAAATTTAAGACATAAATTTCTTCGTTTTGGATCAAGTATTTTAAAAAATAAAAATCTCGCAAGGTAACAGTAACGCTCACAGGACTGATGCTTGGTACTGGGATGGAATCTGAAGAACAGCAACAAACATACGACAGGAAGGCATGGGCCCTCTCTAGACTGTGCCGTTTCATGGACTGTGCACCTCCCTGCTCATCTTTTCTTCAGAGGGAAGTTCACTGCAAAGGAAGCAGATGCCCCCGTGACATGCCGGCTGCCATTGTCTGCCTAGATGATAGTTTCGTGGGTGCAGACCTAGGGGATCCATTTGCTTCGTGTAACTGATAAAACACAGTTTTTCAGGAGGGAGAAGGCACTGCATCCTAAATGAATGTTGGAATGTTATTTTTAGACACTCTAAAAATTATTGTGGGAGGCAGAATAATGGCCCCCAAAAAAGCCCACCTCTCAATCCCAGAAACTGTGCATATGTCACCGTACACAACAAAGAAGATTTTACAGATATGACTAAGTTAAGGGTTTTGAGGTGGGGAGATCAGTCTGGATGATCTGGGTGGCCTGATGTAATCACAGGAATCCTTCACCACAGAGGAGGGAGGTAGAAGAGGATTCAGAGGAAGATGTTCCTATGGAAGAAGGTCAGAGTGATGCGGTACAAGAAGGATGTTACTTGCCATTGATGGTTTTGAAAATGGAGAAAGAGGGTCTCAAGTCAAGGAAACTGGAAGAGACAAGGAAATGGACAGGACACTGTGGATGCCATTATTTTAGCCCAGTAAGACCTGGGTCAGACATCGGTGAGCCAGAACCATGAGACAACACATTTACATTGTTTTAAAGCATGGAGTTTGGGGTAACTTGCTGCAGCAGCAATAGAAAACTAATACACTTGTGATACATGTTTCTTTTTGTTTCTGAGGATTCTATTCCGAATTCATGACGCCGACTGCTTCTAGAATGTTGTGTTGGAAAACTCACCGACTCTCAAACCCAGACAGGGAAGAAAATGGATATGTAAGAATAAGGATGCGCCCCAAATGAGTAAGTGTGACAAGACTACTTATCATTTCAATTGTATTTTCTGAGACCCCTCAGAGGAAGCTGTGATTTTAGTTTCAAGAAATGGCATGACTTGGGGTGGTATTGCTGACGTCGGTTTTATTTATAAGTTAAAGGGAATGGCAATATGCTTTCACGTTAATGATTGAGCAAGTAGTCATACAAAATCCGAGTCCTAGTGCCTCTATTTTTGGTTAGTATGTTTGTCTCACAGAAAACTAGGTAGACGACAGTGAAATCAATATCTTTAATGTTATTCAGGGGCCATATTTTAAATCTGTGGGAGAAGTCTTGATCAAACAGTTCCTTTTTGTCTCATTCTCTTTCATCAGGGAAGTTAGAGGTGGAAAAGACTCACTAGATCATAAATTAATGATCCTGTGTTAATGTAGATGTCCCCACTAATTAATAAAGGAAAGTAAAATGTGAAGTCTGAACATATCTAAATACCCTTCAGTCTGGGAGAAAGATTAAAAATTGTTTTCCTCATACCTACATGAAATTTGTTTGTGTTTTGCACAGAAAGTAGAGTTATAAAATCCTGACCCTAATTAAGTCTTTTTTTAATTTTATTTTATTATGTTATGTTAATCATTATACATTAAATGATTAATTTTTGATGCAGTGTTCCATGATTCATTGTTTGCGTATAACACCCAGTGCTCTATTCAATACGTGCCCTCTTTAATACCCATCACCAGGCTAACCCATCCCCCACCCCCCTCCCTTCTAGAACCCTCAGTTTGTTTCTCAGAGTTATTAAGTCTTAACCTCAGTGATTCTTTTTAAACAGATTTTCTCCCCAACCAAGGGGCAGGCAGAATTAGGCAACATCAAAGAAGTCGGAAGACGTTCCCATGATGTCAGGTCACTAGGCAGCATCCCCACATAGAGCCAGACACTGAAGTTACATCTAGTTTCCCAGTCCCCTTTGCTGGTACTCTGATTTCCTCCTCGGGGGCTCCAGATACCCAGTGCATGGGAGCCGTAAGCCTAAGAAGAAATGCACCACTGGAATGGGAGTATGATTTTACAAAATAGTACACTTAGAAATGGAAGCTAATAAGAATCGACACAAACGAATATGGAAACTGAATGCCTTGTGTGACCTAGTCCCAGAAATGGTATACCATCATTTCTGTAATATCTTGTTGGTTACCAACACCCCTACTTGTAAGAGGGGGCTACACAAAAGCATGATACTAGGACGTGGGACTCATGGGGGCCCATTTTGGAGGCTGATTACCACACAGTAGATGGTTTTCCTTCAAAGACATTTATAAGGTTGGCCCTTTTAACTTCAAGTGACAGAAACACTTCCTTCAGAACTGGAAAGTTGACATAACTGTCTGCCCACATTCTCTTCTTCCAGAGCAGCAACACCCATAA